TGATGAGATCCGGAGGCCCATTGTTGTGCCGTACATCCATGAACATCACCTCATGTTTCAGCAAGATAATGCACGGCCCCATGTTTCAAGGATCTGTACACAATTCTTGGAAGCTTAAAATGTCCCAGTTCTTGCATGGCCAGCATACTCACCGGACATGTCACCCGTTGAGCGTGTTTGGGATGTGCTTGACCGACATATACGACAGCGTGTACCATTTTCCACTAATATCCAACAACTTTGCACAGCCATTGAAGAGGAGTGGACCAACATTGACAGTCTGATAAACTCTATGCGAAGAAGATGTGTTGCACTGCATGAGGCAAATGGTGGTCACACCAGATACTGACTGGTTCTGAGTCCCCAGACCCCCAATAAAGTAAAAAAAACCTTCACATTCCAGGGTGGCCTTTTATTGTGGGCAGTATAAGGTACACCTGTGCACTACTCATGATGTCAGATCAGCATCTTGATGTGGCACACCTGTGAGGTGGGATGGATTATCTCAACAAAGCACAGGTGCTCACTATCACACATTTAGACTGATTTGTGAACAATGTTTGAGAGAAATGGTAATATTGTGTATCTGGAATGAATTTTAGATCTTTAAGTCCATCTCATGAAAAATGGGAGTAAAAACAAAAGTGTTGCATTTATATTTTTGTTCAGTGTGTGTTGTCTTGTATTTGTGGAGCAGACCTGATGCTGAACAGTCAGAAGTTTAAACCATCAACTCATTCATGTTTCTAGTTGTAGTTTGTGTCCATGTGCAGCAAGATTCAGAGAAGCTGGTGTAGTTCAGCTTTTGTCCAGATAGAGCTGCTGTAGTACTCATGGCAAAAGGTAGAAGTAAACGTAAAGAAGCTGCTGTGTTGAGTAAAAAAATTACATTTAGAGTTTGTGTTGTGATTTTATCCTGATGAGAATAAAAGACTGAGTCTCTGTTTTACTCAGGCTGAACTGCAGCATCAATTCTCAGGTGTGATCCCACTACTGAGCGGTACGGGGGTTTTGACCTGCTCCGTCTCCGACCTGGGCCGGTGCACCCCTCCTTGGTCAACCTGGTGGTCCCAGGCTCCCCCAGGAGCACCATATCGATACCGAACTTAGTGCGGACACCTGATCAGCATAGTCCACAGCAGTACAGAACTCCTGAGCTCAAACGATCCTCCAGCCTCAACCTCCCAGTAGCTTGGATTACAGGCATGCGCCACCGCACCCGGTGTGGACCTGAGGAGCAGACAGGAGATTGAACTGTTAGATTATTTCACCAAGAGTCACATGAAAAACTGATGTCTCATCAGGTAACATTTAAATCACCTGTGAGTCTTCGGAGGAGGAACATTAAGCTCAATACTTTAACATCTAAACAAAAATGCAATCAAAACAAACTGCTCAGCTGGTGATGTGTAGATTCATCTTAACTTTCTAAACGTAGATTAAGTCCAAAAATGTCCTAATTTTTCTATATAACTAAAGGTTTTTCAGGCTGTGTGTATGTTTTTTATTTACTACATGATAAAAAAATACTTAAAGAAACTCAGCAGCAGTGACTAAATACTGATGATCAGTAATCAGTTTTTCATGTGACTCTTGGTAACATCATCTAACAGTTAAATCTCCTGTCTGGTCCTCAGGTACTCACTGGGTGCGGTGGCGCGTGCCTGTAATCCAAGCTACTGGGAGGTTGAGGCTGGAGGATCGTTTGAGCTCAGGAGTTCTGGGCTGCTGTGGACTATGCTGATCAGGTGTCCGCACTAAGTTCGGTATCAATATGGTGCTCCTGGGGGAGCCCGGGACCACCAGGTTGGCCAAGGAAGGGTACACCGGCCCAGGTCGGAGACGGAGCAGGTCAAAGCCCCCGTACCGCTCAGTAGTGGGATCACACCTGAGAATACATGCTGTAGTTCAGCCTGAGTAAAACAGTGAGACTCGGTCTTTTATTCTCATCACAAAACTATTTTCTCCACACAGACACTCAGTAGGACATCTTTACAGGTGATTGAGTCTGTTTTATTATTTTCCAAAAAGAAAAAAAACCTTCAGAAAGACTCTGTTACACTTATCCTGCAGCGCCTCCATCTGGATGACAGCTGAACAGCACCAGCCTCTCTGATTCCAGGTTTTAATAGAGTGTAAGCAGGTGTGTAACAGCTTCAGCTTAGACATCTCGTGGGGCTTAAAGGAGATAAACAGTTGGATGTCATCTGCGTAAAGAGGGTAGGAGATTCCTTTGAAGTAGCTCAGGATGTGTTGAAGAGGAAGCAGAAAGGGGAGGAAGAGTAGAGACCCCAGCACAGAACCTTATGGGACACCATGAGAGAGGGATGTGGCGGAGGACCTAAACTTGAAGATGGCCACAGAGAAGGAACGCTCAGACAGATAGGAGGAGAAACAGTCCTGAGCAGTTCCTGAGAGGTCTACCCAGTCTCTCAGCCTCTCCAGTAGCAGGTGATGGTCAACAGTGTCAAAGGCTGCAATCAGGGTCCAGTAGGACCAGAACAGAACAGTCATCTGCATCACTGTGGGTCAGAAGGTCATTAGAGACCCTAAGAAGATCTGTTTCATTAGAATGAGCTCTACAAAACCTGACTGGAAACCTTCATAGATGTTATGTTCATCAAGAGCAGCTGTGAGCTTTTTAACAATAACCTTTTCCAAGATCTTGGAAATGGACAGAAGTTTAGAGATGGGTCTGAAGCTGCGGTGGAGGCAGGGGTCAAGACTCGTTTTTTTTAAGAAGTGGGTTTATTGTACACTGAACAAAAATATAAACGCAACACTTTTGTTTTTGCTCCCATTTTTCATGAGATGGACATGAAGATCTAAAATTCATTCCAGATACACAATATTACCATTTCTCTCAAATATTGTTCACAAATCAGTCTAAATGTGTGATAATGAGCACTTCAGCTTTGCTGAGATAATCCATCCCACCTCACAGGTGTGCCACATCAAGATGCCGATCCAACATGAGTAGTGCACTAGTGTACTTTATAGCGCCCACAATAAAAGGCCACCCTGGAATGTGCAGATTTGTCTCACAGCAAAATGCCACAGATGCCACAAGCATTGAGGGAGAGTGCAATTGGCATGCTGACAGCAGGAATGTCAACCAGATCTGTTTCTCGTGCATTGAATGTTCATTTCTCCTCCATAAGCCGTCTCTAAAGGCGTTTCAGAGAATATGGCAGTACAGCCAACCGGCCTCACAACCGCAGACGATTTGTAACCACACCAGCCCAGGACCTCCACATCCAGCAGGTTCACCTCCAAGATCATCTGAGACCAGCCACTCAGACAGCTGCTGAAACAATTGGTTTGCATAACCAAACAATTTCTGCACAAACAGTCAGAAACCGTCTCAGGGAAGCTCAACTGCATGCTCGTCGTCCTCATCGGGGTCTTGACCTGACTCCAGCTCGTCGCCGTAACAGACTTGAGTGGGCAAATGCTCACATTTGATGGCGTCTGGCATGTTGGAGAGGTGTTCTCTTCACGGATGAATCTCGGTTTACAAGGTTTTTCAGGCTGTGTGTATGTTTTTTATTTACTACATGATAAAAAAATACTTAAAGAAACTCAGCAGCAGTGACTAAATACTGATGATCAGTAATCAGTTTTTCATGTGACTCTTGGTAACATCATCTAACAGTTAAATTTCCTGTCTGGTCCTCAGGTACACACCGGGTGCGGTGGCGCGTGCCTGTAATCCAAATTACTGGGAGGTTGAGGCTGGAGGATCGTTTGAGCTCAGGAGTTCTGGGCTGCTGGTGTCTATGCTGATCAGGTGTCCGCACTAAGTTCAGTATCGATATGGTGCTCCTGGGGGAGCCTGGGACCACCAGGTTGACCAAGGAGGGGTGCACCGGCCCAGGTCGGAGACGGAGCAGGTCAAAACCCCCGTACCGCTCAGTAGTGGGATCACACCTGAGAATAGATGCTGCAGTTCAGCCTGAGTAAAACAGAGACTCAGTCTTTTATTCTCATCACAAAACTAATTTCTCCACACAGACACTCAGTAGGACATCTTTACAGGTGATTGGGTCTGTTTTATTATTTAAAAAAATAAAAAACACTTCAGAAACACTCTGTTACACTTATCCTGCAGCACCTCCATCTGGACAACAGCTTACTAGCACCAGCCTCTCTGATTGCTGAAGCTGCACGTGGACACAAACTACAACTAGATAATTGTCCTGTAAGCAGCAGTTGTGGGGAGAGAAATTACTTTTTGATGTCAGAAGATACTGGGCTGACTGGTTCTAGATGACTGAGAAGCAACAGCAGCACAAATAATCACTGGTTCCAGCCAAGGTCTGCAGAACAGCATCTCTAAACCACTACATGTTTAACCTTGAGGCAGATGGACTCCAGCAGCAGGACACCACACCAAGTTTCATACCTGTCAGCAACGAACAGGAAACTGAAGGAAGAGTTGGATCAGCATAACTGGACCATGAGAGATGGGAGAAAACTTGAAACTTAGAGTGATTATAAGTAGTCTGTATATTATCAGCAGCAGCACCCAGAGCGATCATTATTTTGGAGAAAAAAAAGAAAATTTTAAAGTTTTTTGGATGGATTCAAGTTTTTATTTTGCATGCAGCTGTTTAGTTTTCCACTATTAACTAAAAACTGAAAAAATGCTTAAATGTTATCATCTATCATAAAAATGCGCCACCACATCCAGAGTTAGACATGCATAAAGTGAAAAGATATTTGATGTACTACTTAAATCTACACTGCAGTGCATATTTAATTTGAAAAGTAAAATAAGGACTAAATGATTAAAATTCTATATTTTTAGACATTTCTTATCCTGAAATTAGTTTTATGCAGGTTTATTACTTTATTTAAATTGTATTTTTAATGAAAATGTGGTATTTTTCTTATTTCCAGTTGCACAGAAGGAATGCCCCATAAAGCAACAAAACAAAACTCATATACATATAGTGCAACAATGCGAGAAGGTTTAGAAAAATGACGATTATAACTACTTTTTAAATATGTTGTTCATGGAATACATTTTATTTTAAGTTGTCCAAACAAACAAAAAGGAGTCACACATCTCAACATATATAAATACACAAATTTATCATAAAAACAGGCAAGTCAAGTGCAAACCACAACTGTTTTCAGTAGTTACGCAGATTCACAGAATGAAGTCAACCACAGGTATATAATAATAATAAAAAAGAGACTGGACATCAACCAAAATACCAGCTGCAGTGGAGTCACAACCCTTTTACGACTCGGTTCAAGTGCACTTTAATCATCCTCCGTCATCTCTTCTGTAACGTGAAAGACAACAGCATTGGGAATTTCGTTTGAATCAAGCTGGAAAGACGAGTCATGCCAACGCACATGACCTCTGGTCAGTTATCACAATGATGCATGCATATTAACATCTACGGCTTGATATTACTGGACAACAGTGATATGTTTGTTTCTGCTGAATTGAGTTGATTCCAGACCTGTTGATTATAAAAATCAGGCCTGGATTACACCTCAATCTGTGTGTGCGAAACCAAGCTAAATGCCTGTTACCTTCTCTTATCATGTTTGTGTGTGTGTGTGTGTCCAGGCAGCCTTTTAGCCCCCTGAACTGTAATGTCGTAAGTTAGTGATGTGCCTTCACTCTGCTGATATGGCCGAACGATTCATGTTGTGGATATAACCTGTTTTGACCTTGAAAGGTGTTGGGAGTAGAATGTATGCTATCTTTTATCCTCTGTGGAGTTGGTCCAGATGCTATAAGCATATAAATAAGACATCTTGTCCAGCAACGAGGAGATGCCCATTTGACCCTGGGAAGTAGAGGGAGGGGTAATCATGAGCCACGTCCCCCTCTACTGACCAATGGCTGTGAGAGGAGGTGATGTAATCCCAAAGGAGAAGAGGGGAGCCTGTGGGAGGTGCTGAGAAGAGGAAGATCATGTGACCAGAAGTGACCAGACATTGAGCCCCAGAAGCAGGGGGTGTTGCCATGGAGATGCACTCCTGAAGAATGCAGCAGAGAGGAGGAGGAGTGAGAATATAAAAGGGGTTGGGATAGACACACACGGGGGTGCGCTGTTGATCGGAAAAGAAATTTGGATCCCGCTGTGTCGGGATTTTGTTTGGATTACTCTTTTTTCATCTTTTTGGAATAAAACCTTGGTTTCTTATTGTGAGAAACTAAAAGGATCTACGTTGCCTGGGGCCTCTTCTTTGTCATGTAACCAGAAAAGGTGAGGAACTGGTTACTTAACATCCCACTCCAAGGTGTGGTTTAGGAAGAAGGAGAAGCAGAATGGAGTCATTAACCTGAGCGTACATAAGCTACAGGTGACTGAGGGTGTGTTGTGAGTAAACTGAGTCTCCCTTGAGCTGCATAAAGTTGATTTTGCCAGAATCAGTCTAGGTTAGCAGTGATTGCTAATCAGCTCCTACAGAGTGAGGGCATTTTAAATAGTGGCTGTTTTTAACGCCCACACAAATACAAATACAAGTCAACCCTGAGACGTTAACATCTTTTGAAGAGTGAGGCTAGCCTGGGAAGATGACTTGTAACAGTTTCTTTCTCTGCGGCCCTTTAAATCAGATAACATCACATTACTATGTTTGCAGAAAATATGCATCTTTCTGTTCACGGTGCATTGAAGGCTGATTACACAATAACAGGAGAAGCACAGCGTGTTGGAGGAAAATCAGCCAAACTGTGCTTTCACAGTTCAAGCTTTTACAATAAAAATCTGATTATTTACAAAAAAGTTTGATCACCATCTGGATAAGTTGCTTTTAGGATAAAGATTTAATATTTGTAACAATGCACTTCAAAAAACAAAATGTTTCCTACTTACATGATTATTTTCTAAATTATTTTGTTCTTTGTCTCAGTGAATCTGTTAGGAAAATAAACATCTTTGTTTGTTTCTTTCTTACTTATATTAATTCAGTATTTGACTTTGACTCACTGTTTGCAGGTTGATTGCTGATTGGCTGCACCTGGCGGTAAGGCGTTTCCTGTTTTCAGTGTTGCACTACGTGTAGCTGTTTGGTGTTTGGGGCTCGCTAAAACTGATTTAATTTCTCTGTACTAGGATATCTCTGAGTTATTGTAGCACATAAGTACGCTAAAACACACATTTTCTGATGTTCCACCTAGCTTTTAGGGAACCATTTGAGTTTGCACGCAGTTTATTTGGTGTTGAACAGTTTGCTCATCCAGTTAGCTTAGCCTCAGCACGGCTATGGCTACTTCTGTCTCTGCTTCTCCGTCTCCTATCTCTTGCTCTCTGTGTCAGATGTTTAGTTACTCCTCTGCCTCCTTTAGCGATAATGGCAGGTGTAATAAATGTAGCATTTTTGTAGCTTTGGAGGCGAAGGTGTCGGAAATGGAGTCCCGCCTCCGCGCTGTTGAAAAACACGTAAACAGCCATAGCTACTTAGCTAGCGCGGGGCTAACTAGCTCAGAACAACCCTGTAGCGATCCTCCAGCAGAACCCGAGCAGCCGGGACCTCAGGCCGGCTGGGTGACGGTACGCAGGAAGCATAGAACCCAGCCCGTGTGCCACCACCAACCTGTCCACGTTTCTAATAGATTTTCCCCGCTCAGTGACGTACCCACTGACAAGCCGACTCTGATCATTGGCCGCTCTATAATCCGAAACGTGGCATTAGAGGCTCCAGCAACCATAGTTAAATGTTTACCTGAGGCCAGAGCGGGCGACATTAAATCTTATCTGAAACTGCTGGCTAAGGATAAGCGTAAATACAGTAAGATTGTTGTTCACGCTGGCGGTAACGACACCCGGTTACGCCAATCGGAGGTCACTAAAATTAATGTTGCTTCGGTGAAAAAGTTTGCCAAAACAATGTCGGACTCCGTAATTTTCTCTGGCCCCCTGTCTGATCGGACCAGTGACGACATGTTTAGCCGCATGCTGTCCTTCAACCGCTGGCTGTCTAGGTGGTGTCCTGAAAACAACGTGGGCTACATTGATAACTGGAAAACTTTTTGGGGAAAACCTGGTCTGATGCAGAGAGATGGCATCCATACCTCTTTGGATGGAGCAGCTCTTCTTTCTAGGAACATGGCCAGTTTTATTAGTCCTCCATGACAACCCAGGGTCCAGACCAGGAAGCAGAGTCGTAGTTCAACCCACCCCTCTGCAGCTTCTGTACTGTTACCCACCCACTACCCCATAGAGACAGTGTCCTGCCCACGGCCAAAATCACACAGATTAAATATCTGTAATATTGTAAATCTCATAAATATTAGAACAAATTCAACTGAGCAGAAAACTAGAAAATTTAAATGTGGGTTGTTGAACATTTGATCCATTTTTTCTAAAACTTTGTTAGTTAATGACTTGATCTGTGATAATCAGATCTCTTTGCTCTCTCTCACAGAATCCTGGCTGCAGCAAGAGGACTATGTTAGTTTAAACGAGTCGACTCCTTCAAATTATTTAAATCATATTGCTCGAAGTACAGGGTGAGGATGAGGAGTAGCAACCATTTTTCATTCGGACTTACTAATCAGTCCCTTACCAATTAATAGCTACAGTTCGTTTGAACATCTTACTCTTAGTTTTCCTAATTCAGATTGTAAGACTGTAAAACCACTCTTGTTTGTAGTTTTATATCGTCCACCAGGCCCTTACTCTGAGTTTTTGGATCAGATCTCAGATTTTTTTTTTAATCTGATTTGGTGCTAAATACTGATAAGGTCATTGTAGTGGGGGATTTTAATATTCATGTGGACATTGAAAATGATAGCCTCAATATAGCCTTTACTAATATCTTAGATTCAATTGGTTTTACTCAAAGAATACATAGCTCCACCCACTCCTGCCATCATACATTAGACCTTGTGCTGACTTATGGCATAGAGTGTGAGGAAATAACGATCTTTCCACATAATCCAGTCCTCTCGGACCACTTTCTGATAACCTTTGAGTTTTTTATAACTGAGTTCTCGAGACATGAAAGTAAATTTCACTATAGTCGGTCTCTATCTGACAACGCAGTTGCATCTTTCAAATCAACTGTTCCATCTTTACCGTCCTCAGCATCTCAGAGGCATGTAGTGGAGGGCAATATTTTCAGTTCTAGCCCCTCACAAATTGATGCCTTAGTTCATCATGTTAATTCCTCTTTACGTGTGGCATTAGATGATGTTGCCCCTTTAAAAAAGAAGGTAATTAGGGACAGGAAGTTGACTCCCTGGTTTAATTCTCATTTACGAGCCTTAAAACAAAACTCTAGGAAATTAGAGAGAACATGGCGCTCTACGCACCATGAGGAGGCCTACCTATCCTGGAAAAATAGTCTTGTGCTTTATAAAAATAAGCTTTGACAAACTAGAACTGCTTATTTCTCAGCGTTAATTGAGGAGAATAAGCATAATCCTAAATTTCTTTTCAGTACAGTTGCTAAACTTACACAGAATCATAGCTCTGAGCCATCTATTCCCTTAGCCCTCAGCAGCAATGACTTCATGGGATTTTTTACAAGTAAAATTAATTCTATTAGAAACAAAAATCTTTAGCATCCTCCCTAATGCGATTTCTTCTTCCTCAGTAAGTGAGGCAGCATCAGAGGTGACTGTAGAACCTAATCTGTGCTTGAACCGTTTTGATCCAGTTGAGCCTTCAGAGTTATCAAAAATATTAGCTTCATCTAAACCTTCAACTTGCATTTTGGATCCAATCCCAAGCAAATTATTTAAAGAAGCATTTCCTTTGGTTACTGCCCCCATTCTAAATATAATCAATCTATCCTTTTTTAAATGGATATGTACCACAAGATTTTAAGGTTGCTGTAATCAAACCTTCACTTAAGAAGCCTTCTCCGGATCCAGATGACCCAATGAATTATAGACCAATATCTAACCTTCCATTTTTATCCAAAGTCCTGGAGAAAATAGTGGCCATCCAAGTATGTGAGCATTTAAACATCAATGCTCTGTTTGAGGAATTTCAGTCTGGTTTTAGAGAGTATCACAACACTGAAACTGCATTAGTGAGAGTTACAAACGATATTCTCGTGGCCTCAGATAAGAATCTTGTGTCTGTTCTAGTCTTGTTAGATCTCAGTGCTGCCTTTGACACAGTTGATCACAATGTTCTTTTAGAAAGACTTGAACATGTTGTAGGGATCAAAGGAACAGCGCTAGGCTGGTTTAAATCCTAACCTGTCTAACAGATTTCATTTTGCTAATATACATGACAAATCGTCTTCATACTCCAGGGTTACTTGTGGAGTTCCACAGGGTTCAGTGCTTGGACCAATTCTTTTTACTATATATATATATGCTCCCAATTGGTAAAATCATTAGACAGCATGGGATAAACTTCCACTGTTATGCTGACGATACTCAGTTATATTTATCCATTAACCCTGATGAACCTAATCGGTTGGGTAGATTACAGGCTTGTGTTGAGGACATAAAAAATTGGATGACTCTAAACTTTTTGCTTTAAAATCAAGACAAGACATAAGTTCTCATCTTTGGACAAGAAATCCAGAAAAGGAAATTGCTTAGTCAATCATCTGACTTGAATGGCATTACATTAATCTCCGAGAACAAAGTAAGGAACCCTGGTGTTATCTTTGACCAGGACATGTCATTCAAATCCCAGGTTAAACAGATTTGCAGGATTTCCTTTTTCCACCTTCGGAATATTGCTAAGATTAGAAGCATCCTTTCCAGGAGTGATGCTGAAAAACTAGTTCATGCATTTATTACATCAAGACTGGATTACTGTAATTCATTACTCTCAGGAAGTCCACAGAATGTAGTTAAAAGTCTTCAGCTTGTCCAAAATGCTGCAGCTAGAGTTCTGATGAGAATTAAAAAGAGAGATCATATCTCTCCTGTCTTAGCTTCCCTACATTGGCTACCTGTTAAATTCAGAATAGATTTTAAGATCCTTCTTCTCACATACAAAGCTCTTAATAATCAAGCTCCATCATACATCAGTGATCTGATTGTTCCATCCGTTCCTAACCGAGCACTTCGCTCTCAGACTGCAGGTTTACTGGTGGTTCCCAGAATATCTAAAATTAGGATGGGGGGCAGATCTTTTAGTTATCAGGCTCCTCTCCTGTGGAACCAGCTCCCAGCTTTAGTCCGTGAGGCAGACACCTTGTCTACTTTTAAGACTAGGCTTAAAACATTTTTATTTGATAGGACCTATGGTTAAAATCTGATGTTAGCCTAAATCTGGACAAGTGGGGGAGTAGAGGGAGGTGGAGTGTACAGTCGGTAAAGACGGCTCTCCCTTGCCCTGCCTCCAACATGCCTCCATCTAAATAGGACAGATTATCCAGAGTTATCTCTGTAGTTATGCTGCTATAGGCTTAGACTGCTGGAGGATACACTGACCACTTTTCACACTCTACTTCTTTCTTCTACGATCTGCTCTTTAACTGTATTATTTCCTGCTATTTCAGCTGTTAACTTTATTTTCTCTCTAAGTGTTTTTCTCCCCAGAAGAAGCTACAGTGATGTTCTGCTGAGCTGTGGTGGCCTCATGGGGGTCATCGTCTAGCACACTGCTGCTAACCACTTATTCTCCCTCTCCTGATAATAACTTTTTGCTTTCCTTGATGTTGGATGTGCTACTACTAGTTTACCCGTTTAATTATAGATCCACTAGGATAAATACAATAAAGTTTACCTCTCACCAAATAGAATATTTACTAAGAAATCACAATATAACTATAGACACATTACTTTATCTTTGTCTGTGTGTGTGTGTGTGTGTGTGTGTGTGTGTCTGCTCTGTCTTCTCGATCCCCAGTGAGTCATGGAGGATGGCTGCTTATTCTGAGCCAGGATCCTCTGGAGGTTTCTTCCTGTTAAAAGGGAGTTTTCCTCTCCACTGTCGCTATATGCTTGCTTAGTATGATGATTGCTGTAAAGTCACTGACACTAGTCAGTGACTTGATGCAATTTGCTGGGTTCCTTATATAGGAAACATTATTTCAGATTGGCTTTATGAACTGACCTGAATTGGAATGTTTATAATGCGAAGTGCCTTGAGACGACTCTAGTCGTGATTTGGCGCTATATAAATAAAATTGAATTCAACTGAATTGAATTAATTCTCATACGAGTGTGCAAAAACTGCAAAAGCAATAAAAAGTTCCTCAGATGGTAACACTTTAATAGAACCCACTTCTACTGAGCTTCACAGCCAATCACTACACAATTAATAAATATTTAGACCTTTCTTAAAGTTTATTTTATTTGCATCCTTAAAATCTCCTGCATGTGGCAGGAGCTTCAACAAAAGCTATAAAACTATTTATGTAATGTCTATTATTGGTTTGTAATTTTCAAACGGTGGCAACATTAAAGCATTACCACGTTTTTCAATAATTTATTCTATATGAACCTCAATGTCACACAGTGGATCAGAAATGGGATGCTTCCTGACCACTAAGCCACACTTCTCTTCATAATAAATGAAAAAAAAAATTAAATTACAGAAAAGGGAAAGGTGATTTTGCTAAAGGAAAATGGTAAATTGGGTGATATAGTGATGTTTGATCGCTGCTTAATCAGTTCACAGATGGAGACCCGATCTTTTTCTTCAGTTGATGCACTCGCCTCTCTTTTGTGCTAAAATGGAAGGTAATGTGTAATTATGTGAAACTGAATGGATCAAAGAGGAGAAAACAGTACAACTGGACCTCCCTCTGCCTCCCTTCAAGTGGGCGAGCCCTCTCTTCCTCTCCCAGCCTTTCCTCTCTTTTCCTCCCCCCCCTTTCTCCCAGCAGCGTCCTAAGCACCCAGCAGCTTCTTGACAAGGTAACCCGGCATGCTGTAGAGGAAGAGGCCCAGCATGATGAGTAGCAGCAGGGCTAGCACGACCTTGATGATCAGCCACTTGTAACGGTTGCAGACCAGGTAGCGGATGGCTTTCAGCGGGCTCAGGAACCACAGGAAGGTGGTGTCAGGGCGACTGCATGGGGGTAGATGGAGATTTCATGGGAGGAAAGTTAGGGGATGTGAGGGATGCATGCAGGTGGAGGGAGGGTTGGATTCATAAAGGGTAGTGGTTGGGGCAGAAATGCAAATGATGGTGGAAGGGTGAAGAGAAGTAGAGAAACCTGGCATCAGTATTTTAAAAGCCATCTTTCTGGTATTCATTTTAGGACGTCCTCGGGTGTTAGACATCAGATCATAAAGAACAAAGCCTCAGGTTTCAATTAAAAACCTATCAGACTTCTGACTTAATAGCATCAATCAAAAAGATCTCAGGAAAAAAAATACATCAGACAAAAATGTCTCAGGAAAAAAGCAATCAGACTTAAAGGAATTGGGAAAAACAGATTCAGGAAAAAAATATTTGTTAAACCACAAACCTTCAAGAATTTTTTTTGTCAAACTAAAAGTCGTCAGGAAAAAAGTTGTGAAACCAAAAGTTGTCAGGAAAAAAGTTGTTAAACAAAAAGGCTTCAGGAAAAAACAAGATGTCAAACCAAATGGTGTTAGGAAAAAATGTCAAAACAAAATGCTTCAGGAGAAAACATGTCAAATCAAAAGCTGCCAGGAAAAAAATATTTCAAACCAAAAGCCTTGAGCAAAAAAGTTGTCTAAACAAAAGGCTTCAGGAAAAATACACCTGTCTAATCAAAAGCTGCCAGGAAAAAATGATTTCAAACCAAAAGCCTTGAGGAAAAATGTTGACCAACCAAAAGGCTTCAGGAAAAACAAGATGTCAAACCAAATGATGCTAAGAAAATCAGACGTCAAACCAAAAGGCTTCAGGAAAAAATATGTCAAACCAAAAGCCTTGAGGAAAAAATTTGTTAAACCTAAAGGCTTCAGGAAATAAGTTGTCAAACCAAAAGCTGTCAGGAAAATATATGTCAAACCAAAAGCCTCGAGGAAAAAAATTGTAAAACCTAAAGGCTTCAGAAAAAAAGATGTCAAACCAAAAGTCTCGAGGAAAACAAGTTGTCAAACCAAAAGGCTTCAACATTTTTGGTAAGGCTTTTGGTTTGACAAGTATTTTCCTGAAGCTGTTTAACCTAATATCTTTTTGTCTGGTGTTTTTTTTTCCCTGAGACCTTTTTGACTGACCCTATTTTTTTAGAACTCTGGTGGGTTTTTGAATGAAACCCGAGTCTTTTTTCACTATGGCATGATGGTGAACACCTGACACCATAAAATGTCCAACGTACATCTTGCAGTTGTGAGTTTTGTCACTACAGCATGCTTAAGGTTTACATCAATCTAATGTTTAAAAATAAGAGCAAACAAACCACATATAAACGCTTTGGTTTATACAGAATGAATGTCAGTAAAAGTGGATGAATGGATGAATGACATGATGGATAACCAACCAGTGGCTCTAAAATGACCCTTTCTCTCTTTATATTGTTGATTTTCACAAATGCACTACATTTTTTTAACTAAAAAATAACTACACAAACTTGTAAATTGTTAAATATGATTGCTTTAAACTAATAAAGGCTTGCTTATTATTTTTCGGGCCATAAAAATATTACAATTCTATTTTCTTTTCACCTCACTGTCAGCAGAAAAGCATCAACAGAAAAGCATGGCTTGTGAAAAAGCTTTCATTGGAGTTCTTGTTTCATATTTGGGGAACGTTTAAAATCACTCAACAAGATTTAGACAGATCTGTTATCCTCTTCAATGCTTATAAAATGCTGAAAATGTTAACCACGTGTAGCTTAAACACACACACACACACACACACACACACACACACACACACACACACACACACACACACACACACACACACACACAAAACCATAAACCTTTTCTCATGACTTGTTTTGGGTTATATATAAACATCATTTAAAATTTGTACTTACTTCACCATTTTTAACAATAGGTTTGCTATATTTAAAATAGTTCATCATAATACGTTTCACGTGATTATGATCAAGATCATCGATCCAAAGTTGTTATGGAATTGGGAAACACAATTTATACCCTTTACATCACAGGAAGGCTGCAGTGTGGCTTTTCAAAATAAAAGCTTCTTGTAGCACACGGGAAGCATAACTTATCTGGGAACACGATGATCTGTGTTTATTTTAGCAAAGTTACCCCCCATAGCAGCTTGTTTTAAAGGAGTTCTTGGTAAATGTGCACTTTGATAACTTTTTGGCTTTGTTCTTTTTTATTTTGAAAACACCTAAAACATTCACATTTTAACACGATTGCGGACTCCAGAGCTGCAGTATTTAGAAAAGACTGAAATTTGTAGAATACTTTAAAAGATCAAATTTAGTTTTATCATCCAATATAAGAAAGCCTAACAACAGCCTATTTAACTTGTTAGTTTCTACTCCATTAGTCAACAATTTAAAAAAAAACACACGAAGAAATTGTGGTCAGCGTGTATAAAATATGTTTTTCAGAAGCAATTATATTGTAAATAAAAGTATTGAAAAATATTGTTTGACCTTTAAAACGTTAAGGAGGAAGATCAGGTGAGTAATTTGCATCAGTAGTCTCAATGCTTTTTTCTGACCTGACAAAGCTTTTTAGATGATAAGAAAAATATTTTCAAGTGTCCGTCTCAACCGTTTACCCCAAATAGTTGATATGTGTGAGATAAATTCGGTCGCAGAAGTGACAACAAGAGCTATGGAGACAGAGAAGACTGTTCTAGGGCAGTTAAAGACAGAGTCAGCCTAAATTTGGAAAAAGAAGAGCAGTAAAGACAGCTGAATCCATCAGAGACAGTGAGGACGGGCAAGAGGCTACCAGCGCATCAGGCCCCCAGCATCTTCTTGACAAGGTAGCCAGGGATCGAGTAGAGGAAGAGACCCAGCATGAGCAGCAGCAGCAGCAGCCCCAGCGTCTTGAGGATCAGCCAACGGTAGTTGCGCCAGATGAAGTAACCGATGGACTTCAGAGGGCCCAGAAACCACATTAGGCTGGTGTCCGGACGACTTTGCAGGGGGGAAAAAAGGAGGGAAAGAGGGAGGAAAGAGGAATTCCAGGGAGGCAAAGAGGTTGAAAAGGGTGAGTCACGTGCACAGAGAAAGGGAAAGGTATGAGGGGAGGGAAGAGACAGAGGTGAAGAGGTGGTGGGAGGAGAAACGAGTGTGTAACAGCGACCGCTGTGATTTAAAAAAATCCTGCAGAAACGGGGTCTTTTTTTCAGAAAGAAAAACAGTTTTGCATTTTCAAACTAGATTGATGTTATGTGTGTGCAACATCTCACTTCGGTTTCTCCAGTGGATCAGGCTCGTTCCGTCCCAGACCCACAGCACTTTTCTCTGCTTCCTCTCCCGTCACCAGGTGGAGCTCAGCCTCAACTTTTCCCTGCAAGCATCAGTTTCCTGTTGAACGCCCTTCTGTCTCACACAGGAGCTTTTGTGTTATATTTATATTTTACAGCTTTTCCGGAATATCTCACCGTGAGCTCCATCTCATCATTCTCATCGCGAGCCACAAAAGGCCACCATCCTTTGACTCTTTTCTGTTTGAAGATGGAAATAGTGGGCAGCTCCTGCTCATTTCGAATCATGTCAATGGAGCATTGCTTAGCGGTCTTGGCGCCTCGGGGGAACCTGTTCAGGTCCAGCTCAATCGCACCTGGAGGCGATAAGTAAAGCACTTTTACAAAATCATTCGGCTGGTCCAAAGACTTCCCAATAGAGCCACTTTTTACAAAAAATCAGGAAAGAAAAAAAAACTCTTGGCATAGATTCCTAAAACCCTCACCCAGGAAGTCATCAGCAGAGAAGTGGTCTGCATCCCAGACCTGCAGTGTGAGGCGAGGAGGGATCTTGTATTCAGTCTCATCCCAGGAGAACATGGACTCCTTCTTAGAGATGACAATCTTCTCCTCAGCCACCAGGTAGTCGAAAGGGAAGACGAAGCGCCAGTTAAAGTTGCCCTCACCAGTCAGGGAGTGGTAATGCACGTCTGTGTCCTGTTTGTCTTCCTGCTGTCCTTTAAGCCATCTATGGAAGCGGTAACAGAGACAATAGAGAAACCAGCCTCCAATGTAGTAATTAATCAGATTTTGTGGCTGGATTCTGCAAAGCATGCACAACAACACAAAGAAACTTGCAAAGGTTGATCATTTACTTGATATTTATGCAGTGGTTTCTATAAAAGTATCAGTCCTAACAACAGAGATGACGTTATAGATGAATCGCAACGCATAAAGTGGCTTTCATGTGTTTTTTAATAATTTCTGTGTACTTTTTTAAACACTCCTGATTTAATGATGAAATTTCACAATAAAACAGCAGCCAAGGATGTGAGCTTGAAAAATATGGCACTATAAATATTGATTCAGGATGTTAATGAAAGAAGTTCGTCTTTGATGCAGGGTTTAAAAGTTCAAATTAAGCTTGAAAGCTTGGGGATTCTTTACGAGGCTGTTTCATTAACAGTTGAGTGAGGCTGGCTTCATGAGTCAGGGGGGAACGGAAGAGCTGCCCTCTCAGTCGTCAAAAGCAACACACATGAATCTGGAACGCCGGCTGAAGCTAGAGTTCTGCACTAATAAGCTGCTAGGATTTGGTAACTGAGATGCTCAAAATTGGCTGGGAAGAGAGAAAAAGAATCAGGGAGATTTATTTCTGGATTGGAACAATTTTAAGAACGTGCCAGATGTCATGTGACCCAGTAGCGCAGGAGTGGGAAACCCTGGTCCTCGAGGGCCGGTGTCCTGCACGTCTTTGCTCCAACACTTCTGGTTCAGTGGTTGGTTCACCTGTTCTGCAGCTCATCAAGCTTCGCAGAAGCTTGTTAATCACCTGCTGATTGAAATCAGGTGTGATGATGCAAGGTTGAAACTAAAATATGCTGGATAGTGGCCCTTGATGGACCAGGGTTCCCCACTCCTGCAGTAGCGGAATCGTCTGTGCACACTCAATGGCCACTTTATTAGGTACACTTATTCAACTGCTTAACACGATCAGCCAGTCACATGAATGCATTTAGGCATCTCTCTGTATCAGACAAGCATGTCTGAGAGTTTCTGAAACAGCTGACCTATTGGGATTTCACCCTCTGTTGGGTTTCCATTACTGGTGAACATCCTGCCTTGTTTCAATGCTTCAAGCTGGTAGTGGTATAATGGTGGGGGTGATCCTCTTTTTCCCACTTTGGACCCCTTAGCACCAACTGAGCCTGGCTTAAACACCTAAGTATTGTTGCTGACCAAGTCCATCACTTTGTGACCACAATGGACCCACCTTCTGATGGCTACTTCCAGCAGGATAATGCACCATGTCACAAAGCTCAAGTCACCTCAGATGACCATGGCCCAGTCCCAGTACTTGCACGTCCACCCTTGGGCCATTCAAATGCGCGTTTCTGGCCAGGGGTGCGAGTTAATAGGGTGTCCTGATTCTCAAGTGAGGAAGGTGACCACGCCCCTTTTGCACACTTAATCTGCACTTTACCCAAGTTAACATCAATGTGGTTGTTAAGCAAGGGTATTACCCACAATCCACTGCTGTGTGGGAATTCTGAGAAGAAAACAGAGCAATGGCTCAAGTGCCTTTTTTGAAATATGTATTTTATAATGATTAATGATATTTATTCATGCTCTGAGTGTTTTAGACAAAGATTTATTGTAAACAGCAATGAATGTAAATTTTGGCAAATAACTGTTTTAAAGTTGTTTATAAAGATTTTGAAAAAGTTGTACAAACAGCAACTGGTATCCCAGCATGCATCACGGTCGATGACGCAGTGTTCCTTGTCCTAATTCAGCCCACTTGTGGACTACTCACTCAAAGCCTTACTGCACACTTGTGCTAAGCACACTTCAAAGAAGGGCACAGTACGAGTATTGGGATTGGGCCAACGAGTTCGCTGAACTCCAGCAACCTCCGCAGTCACCAGATCTCATCCAGCTCAAAACTTTTCAAATGTGGTGCAATGAAATGATGGGTGTGCAGCTGGCAAATCTGCAGCAGCTGCATGCGGATCTGATATAATTTGAATCAAAAATATCTAAAGGATGTAAGGAACGCCTTCCCAAATAGGTGCCAAGAAGAATGGAAACATGTCTGAAGGCAAATGGCAGTCCAACCTGGTACCATTATGGTGTGCTTATTAAAGTGGCCAATGGGTATCACAAAAATGGTTCCATCTGAAACATCCCCAACTCTAATGTTCCAGTCATGATGGTGAAGATTAACCCTCTGATGATGCGGTCTTCCATTTAGTTTTATATTTTCCTCGGGGTTGTTTAAAGATGGCACCCTGTTTGTTCTGGAAAAGCCAGGATGTAACTCATCCACAGCTGACAGCAAATCATCTGTGGAAAAAGTTGAGTGGAGTTGAGTAGAGTACTTCTAAGTATGTTACCTGCAGCAGACAGTGGTCAGAACGGTCGCTGTTTTAGAGAAACACAGAAATATTTATGGGATGGAGTCAAGCTGTTTTGCATACAGTTGTTTGGTTTGCCTCTTTTTTCTCAGCCCAGGAATATTTCTCTGCTGACCGTGTACTCTTGGGTTTGTGTTAAAATGCAGAAAAATAAACGTCTCTCCACCCCAGGTGGATTCCACTGATCAGCGGTCACTGTTACATAGCTCTGTTTGGTTAGGAACTTTGTGACAACATAAACATGAACTCAAAAGGGTTAAAAATCATAATTTTCATAAAAATTTGAGTTGTCCTAAATGGTGCAAATTGCTGGGAGAAATTTAACTCCACCTTGACTGCTGCCTACTGCAGGTAAGTCATTGACTGCTACTCCAAACAACCCTTCAAAAGAACCGGTCTATTGCGTCAAGGCTTGCAAGAGTGGGGAAACAGCAGAAACACTAAGTATTAATACATTGCATCCTAAATAGATCAAATCCAGGCTGCTAAATGGAAATTTTGTCAAAAGCAGTTAAAGCTTCCTCATACAGGCATGCACACAAATCCCAAGCACTTTGCCAAAAACATCTTGATCCATGATCTTAATGGTTTTGTTAGTTGGTGCATATTCAACCGGTCTGTTAGTTTACTCACTGATGTGACTAAAGCAGCCGTTCAACAAAGAATGCATGAACCACACTATCTGCTAGTTAACCCTTTAACTTCCTCACCGAGAAAAAAAGCAATGAAAACATTCCACTCTGCATTTTTTTTATTTGGGGCAATGAGGACTTTAGTTTTATGTAAATTCATAATATTAATAATATGCTAGTTGTAATGATATTAAGGTACTAATAATGCAAAATTACAATGTTACGCTTTTTTTTTTTCAAATAACTCCAAATCATTTAGAATTATTTTGTTTTACTATTTTTTTTTTCTTGTTAAAGAGACAATCAGTAGTTTTTACCTTTAACCTCTGGAAACATCTATTGTTGAAAATGAATAAAATGATGTCTAGTAGCTGAAAAATATTGGTGGCTTTGTAACATTTCACTATAAAACCTGGGTCTAAAGTACATGGGTGCGGGTCTAGCGTCTCTGGTAGACGCCATGTTTCCTTCTGGTCAGCTAGGGGTCCTGTGCTGTTGATGATGTCACACTAGCTGATTGGCTGGACTGACGACTTACAGAATTTACTTTACCATGTTCAAAAACTAGTAAGAAACACAAATTTAACAACAAAACGTCTAAACTCTTTCCAAAACATACATAAAAGAAGGGAATTGAAAAAGAGATGCAATTATTTGGCTGAGCAGTATTGTCATAGTCATAGATTTATGACATCATCGGCAGGCGCAAGCCTTCCGAGCAGAGCCGGAAACTACGACTGCACTGCAGTCTCGAATGGAATTAACTAACGGACCATCAAAGTCTAAGGAGTCACGCCGAGGTTGCATGCTTGCATAATTTAGAGTCATGCTTTTTAAACTAGCAACAGTCAGAAGGATATGGTGTAAAACTACCCTGAAACGTAGGTATGTACTGACCCCTAGTGGCAGAAAACTACACACTGCCACTTTAAGTTAATCTAATGTTTCAATGAGATGTAGTGACTTTAGACATGCTCTGTCAATAGGGTGAGCAGAAAGGCAAATGATTTTAAAGTAACTAAATTGTTTTTTAATCTGTAAGCTAGATCTCAATTGTTGAGTTAGCAACTTGACCAGTTTCAGCCCTCTGCTGGCCAGATACTGAACTTACCAGTTTTGTGGAGCTGGTAGTGACCCTTTGCATCGATGTCACTTAATCACGTGGGTCCACCATGGTGGACGGCAAAAGCATGTAAACAGTGAGCGACACGAGTACTAAACAAAGGGAAAAGTAGAGCCTGAAATTGTTTTTGCGATCAAAACCAAAACAAAACTCCTCCAGCATTCCTTCCACTAGTTCATGCCCAGTTCAGTTATCAGAAGAAGTAGCGCATCTAGCGGGGCTCATAGAGAGCGGTATGCTAACTAGCTTACCAACGTTAGCTTACGTTCTCTCTGCAGCTGTTCACCAATGTAAACATGTTGCTAACTTTGCCTAAATTCACCCGTCTGGATTTATAACATTATGTTGTAAACAGCGTTTCACTTTACACCAAAGCTGATTTTTAAAAAGTCCGGATCCCTACCAGCTTCTGTTGCTGGTGGTGTTACCGGGTTCAGCTGCTGCTCTCACACCGGAATGAGAAGATCTCTGGCGACGCTCATGTAAATAAATAACGTAATTTTAACACACGTAATCATACATTGGAGCTTTAATATTGTTAATAATTGTCTTGCTTTACACTATAGTGGATGGCGCGCAGCCTCCATGGTGAAATACCCATCCATCAGGATTATCAATAACTAGTATAAACACATCACATTTATCCCTGTCCCTGTCTTCCTCGTGAAATAAATGAACGTTAATCTTTCCCATTAAAAACATGTTCGCTGCAAATCTGAGGGATGCTAGCCCGCTTGATTGATCGCTGCAGTTCATCTCCGTCCTCAGTCTCCATCAAAGTTATTTAAAAGAAAATATGAGTTTAGTTTACATCCTTGTCTCTTAGTGCAGCCGACCACGCCGCAAGCTGAAACCATTTTACTGTCAAATCAACTAAACAAAAGCTGTAAAAGGCTACAAACTGGCTTGTTTTGACTACCTTCACTGGAGTTTCAATGGGTGTAAATGGTCTTTTTGCCGTCCATCATGGCGAAGGGGGCGGTCACATGAGTGGCGTGACGTCACATGTAAAGGGTCAATAGCAGGCTGCAGTAGGGTGGTTTACATCACTCATAATTCCACTTTCAACCATTAGGGTGGAGGAGCAGGAAACTGCTCAGTGTTACTTTAATTTCATCACCCAGGAACATGAATACTAAATATAAGCTCACAGAAGGTTCGAATGTATTCTGATGTCTCAGTTATTGATGAGAGGTTTGGATCAGAAAGAGGAAGCAGGTGTAAGAATCCAAACCTTTGGTGTACAATAAGTTTTCTTTACACACTTTGTGCTTCATAAAACCAATCAGTCATGGTCTCATCGCTGCAGCCTGCATAGATATTATTGCTGCCCAGAGTTTACTATCTTCTAATGAAAACTTCCAGCATGATGCATGCTAATGGTAGTCATAGCAGATTTACTTCATGCAAATGGCTTTATTGCCTCCATCACCGGTTCTGAATTGATGCTTTAATGATTAGAAAGAAAAGTTTCTGAAGAATGCTTTAATAAAGTGCTTGGTGAGTGTACAGTACAGTATGGTATGCTTCCATGCATGTTTAAACATCTTAGAAAAAAATCAGTGTTTTAAAAGTACCAGTGCAGTACAGGACCAAACAATGATTCCAACTTTGTAAGTAAAAATAAAGCAACATGGAGGAGGGGGACAATAATAACATTTCATAGGAAATTATATATAAAAAAATCTACTGTACATTTTTATGGTATATTTTAGCTGTTGTAAAGATATTTTTGTTTATGTGCAAAAGTTATAAATAGTTATACCCTACCCATTTCTGGATGGCCATAATTTGGAGCCCATAATTAGCAGGCCTGATGAGCTAACCGCTAGTCCAAGTGCAGCATAGACCAAAGTCAGCCATCTTACAAAAGTTCTAGTCTCCAGAAGAACACAGTCAGTTTCACATCCTGAGTCCCTGGATTCACTGGGTGTGCTGTTTTGTGAATAAACAGATGACTCCATGTAAATGTGTAAAATCAGTGTCACAGAAATTGTGAAGCTCTATGAAACGTCACATGAATGATTAAACATTTGAAGATCAAAGTTGTTTTAGGACTGCAGCAATACTCTTTGTTCTTGATTGGTCACTGACTAGCCGTTAGCTCATCAGTCATGCTCCTGCGACATGTAAAATAATAATATAAGTATTTTTAAAAGTTCTAAACTTCTGAAATACAGTTAAGAGGTTAAAGACTTTGTTGAAAATCGAAACTCTTAAAAAAGATTTTTAATTCAGACTAATTATTAAGCCTCTATTCAGAGCACTAAACTAAATACTGCACCCTCTTTGCAACAGAGGAAGCCTGTTTTAATCATTTCTGCATGTTGTGATGCTAATAAACTAGAAGATAACTGTAGTCAGGCACTTACAGGGCTACCAACGTCTGTAAAAATCTACGAGTGAGATGTTTTTCTTTTATGTATACAAGTGAAACTAGAAATATTAGAATATGGGGCTAAAGTACATTTATTTCAGTGATTCAACTTAGACTGTGGGACCATCTAAAGGCTAAGAAACCCCTTGCAGGTGTTTTGGATCAATTAGATTAGAGTGTGACTCTTTGAGCCTAGAATATTGAACCTTTTCACAATACTTACATTTTTTGGGCTTTTCACAAGCTATAAGCCATAATCATCACAATTATAACAAATACAGACTTGAAATATCTGGTTTTGCATGTAATGAGTCTAACTCGTATATTAGTTTAATCTTTTGAGTTGAATAAATAAAATAAAGGAACTTTTGCACCTTATCTCATTGTTTGCGTTCCACCTGTATGTGTGAAAAATCACATATGGTCATATTTATGATGGAAAAATACTTTTTGTCTTCATGCATCTGGAATAAACCACCCCAGGTTGTGAAAAACTGTAAACTAATTGTGTCATTTTTACCAAACCTTTTGTCAGTGCTCTTCCCCTAGGTACCCGGTGAAGGAAATAAGCACATGCCCCGTATGCCCAATAGCCAGTCTGGCGGTTGTTGTAGGGGCGTGTGTATGGTAACATAGCACTATGTATGTCAGATAGATTTTGTTTTTTGGCGTGAGATATTGGAGATGTGGTGTGAGAGTGTGTGAAGACCATCAGATGCGTTAGTCTTACGCTCATTGTGTGGATGCTAGCAGCATTTATATTAAATGTGTTGTGTTTTTGGTGTACTCGTGTTAAGTTAATGTCTTTGTTGCACAAAATGAAAAAAAATAGGGATGGTCAGTTTTAATCTTAAATTTGCTCATGTGGTTTGGTCCCTACTGCACTGGTTTCTGTGTGCTGGCAGAGGTGATGGCATCAATCCAGGTTTGCGTGCTGCACAGTTAAACAAGAAGGGTCATGGTGAAGGGCTTCACAAGGAGGAAAGCAGGGAATTTCCACGAGCCATGCGATGGAATCGTGTGTTTACCCCCTGACATAGATGTCAGACATCTTCTCCCCTGTCATGAAAGCATCGTCCTCTAGAATTACGTCATCAGTGTTCCAAATAATAACACGAAGCTCAAAGCTAGACGCCGGCAGAGTATTGAGAGAGAGGACGACAGACAGGAGACACACCACAAACAGAAAACAACACAAACACGCACACAGAAAGAAAAAAATGGAAACAAAACGAAACAAAAAAATAATGGTTAACAGCAAAAAACCACACATACAGCTCACACCCACGGGATGAGGCTAGGCTGCCTCATCCCGCTGTACCTACCCCCTCACAAATATGTCACTGGACTTTTCCCCAGTGAAGTAATCATCGTCCTCCAGTATTACTTCGTCTGTATTCCAAATAATCACCCTGAGCTCATATCTAGTAAAGGGAGGAGGAAGGAACACATA